GACACGGAAAAAGACAAAAGACAAAAAAAAAAACAAAGAAATAAAAACCTGAATGACTTGATCTATTTGACTTCCTCTCATGGCTTGTTTTAGCAGAGGGATGACAGCAAGGACAAGGAGTCCTTCACAGTAGCTTCCAACATCAGTCAGCCAGATGACTTGATGGGAGAAGTTACTGTTTCTGACCATCTTACACTTGTTAAGACCAACAAGTAGCTTTATCTGTAAAATGTTCTGTTTTGCTTTTCCCTCCTTCCTTACTCTGATGGCTGTCATCTTCATCCTCTTCATCTCGGTACTGAATGGGACCCTCTGAATCAGAGTCACTCTCCTTCTCTTCCTCTTCCTCCTGCAGATACTGCGGTAGTTTAGGGACGACTGAGGTAGATATCACGTCTTCACTGAATGCCGATGGGCAGGTTTGCTCTTCTTCTTCATCATCTGGACTAACACATTAACATAATTATGTTTTCTTTTCAGAAACAAAGATGGTAGCTGATTTGTAAGACAAAAGACTGAAATAACTACAGAAAAGTCCACAAATGAAATAACTTGTAATTCCCTCTCTTAACTTTAACAATCTTGCTAAGAAACTATATTAACCTAAAGGGCTCTGGGTTAAAATCCCAGCTCTACCACTTATCAGGCACTGGTGCTTTCAAGAATTTGTCTAATTTCATTCTCACAAGCTTACAGAGTTGTTATTATTCCTATTTATTGATCAGATAACTAAGGAGCAGACAGGTTAAGTAACTTAGACTACTACAAAATAAGAATGGTAGAGCTGGGATTTGCACTCTGGGCTATCTTACTCCAAGGCAAATGCTCTTAAGCACAGTGTTATACACTTCCTCACTTGTATCATATAAAACTATATACTCATGTATATAACTTTCGTGTCATCACGGAAATCTTTTCCATGGGAAAAAAATGTTATAGAAATCAGCAGGGTAAAAAATGTTCAAATTTTGTACTTTATCCCTTTGGCAGAGTATTCTTTGTACTTTAAGTTTATTCACATTTTCTGGGATTTTTTTGGTGGAGGGTGGGGGCAGCTGGCTGGCACAGGGATCGAACCCTGGACCTTGTTGTTATCAGCACCATGCTCTACCCAACTAAGATAACAGGCCAGTGCTACACTCACTCTCTTTTTTTGGCGGGGAGAGGGGGACAGCTGGCCGGTTACACTTTCTTTTGTAAGTAATTCTTTCCAATCAGATCTACCTAGAATAAAGAAGGAAAAACAAGAGGCAAGCTTTAAAGGCACTCACACTTTCAGCATTTCAATAGTGATAGGAAGTGATCTGGTCCGACCAAGGGTACTGCTGTCCTCAGAAAAGTTGTCACTGTTCTCGAAGAGCAATGAATGAGCTCTGTGAGAGCCCTCCAAAGGAGGAGTCATGGGAAGTGGGCTGGTCAGGGCCTGCTGGATCCGAACATGCAGTGGGAGTGGGGGCAGCCTAGAGGGTACATGGGGCTCCCCACAGCTCTGGTCCAATATCTTCTTAGGGACTTCCTTTTTCTGATCTTCCTGTTGGGGAACCTCCTGGGGTTGATCTAAGGAAGGTGAAAACTCAATTTCTGGCACAACTTGAAAAGTCTTAGCAGGGAATGAAGGGGACCGGGGAGGCTCTGGAGGTATATGAGTAGGCAGTGGAGGGGATGGAGAGGAAGGAGGGATTATCAGCGGTGGTTCAGAGCCCACAGAGCATGTGCTCTTCTCTCTTTGATCACTTGGTGTTTTTGTGGTGACGGTAGCAGCAGATTCCGAGGTGGGTACCAAGGTTGATGGAATGCCTCTCTTAGGTGGTAAGGGCGGGGATGGTTTTGATAACAATGTACCACTGTTTACTGCGTGGGACAGTTCAGCTGGAAAAGAGAGAGGAACACCTTAATTTAACATAGTTTTACAATGCTTTCAGGGCCAGCCCAGGGTCTAGAATTAGAGCTGAGCTTAATCTTTCAAGGAAATTATATAATGTTTTTATTTGTTAAACATAAAGTCTTTTTCTTTTTCTTTTTCTTTAAAAGATGACCGGTAAGGGGATCTTAACCCTTGACTTGGTGTTG